CGTCGGAAACAGCGTACCTTTTTATGTGGACATCGCTGGTGGGACGGGGGCTCGCTCCCGACGAAGAGTCTTCGGAGATTTGTTTTTTCTCTTTTCGTCGCAGATTCTTGAGCAAAACATATTTGGTATCATGAAAGTATGCGTATAAGTACAGAACAGACTACCTACCCGTTGCAGACAAAGCGACAAATATATTTTTTATGAGTTTGTGCCTTGTCTGTGTGCGCGTGGTGTGAGAAGGAGGGCTCGGTCGGGGGGTACGGCGGCAGCTTCGGGGTGTGTGCGTGTGTGTGCCCTCTTCCACGCCCTTACGAGATGTCGCTCCCACGGACTCAAGAGGTGACGTCTCTCGCGGACTTACGAGGCGACGCTCGCTCACGCGCTCACGACGTGACTACTTGTACCGGAACCATGCCGGTTGCTTGTTTTGACGCTCTAACGGTGACGCTCGCTCACGCGCTCACGACATGACTACTTGTCCCGGGACCATGCCGGCTACTTGTTTTCACGCTCTAACGGTGACGCTCTCTCACACCCTTACGAGATGGCGCTCTCTCAAAGCCCTCACGACATGACGACTGCACCATGCCGGTTGCCTTTTGTTGTTTTGGAACAAACGCCGCTCGCACCGTCGTTACGCAATACGCAGGCGGGACCGGCGGAAGGATCCGGATCACTTGCGCAGGGCTCCACGATCAAGAACGACATTGAGCGCTGGGCGTCCGACCCGCTCTGTCTGACCCCTACCAAGAGACCCTCCTCCTCCTCCTCTTCCTCGCCCAGTCAAGTGGCGGGGAGCCCTAAGGGTGGCGAGCGCCTCGCGGCCAGGGGGTCTGCCCAGGACAAGGCCAACGTGGTTTGCCAGATAGCGGCAGTGGAGGCGATGCTGGAGGGGGGGGCGGGGCTGCCGTGCGGGGTGAAGGTAGTGGTCGGGGCTACGCCCCCCCCCGGTTCCGTGTCCGGCGACACCCCTTTGGAGGTGGCGGACCGCTTGGCGGACTTTCTGAGGGCGCACCCGTCGCTGGCCGGCCTGCCGGACCTCGTCGTTGTGAGTGTGTGCTTGCTGCTGCTGCTGCTGCTGCTGCTGCTGCTGCTGCTGCTGCTGCTGCTGCTGCTGCTGCTACATGCGCTTTGTTTTTCGTTGTGTTTTCCAGTCTGTCTTGTCTACCTCTGTGTGTCGCTCTCTCTCTCTCTCTGTCTCTCTGTGAGTATCTCCGTCTCTGTCTCTGTCTCTGTCTCTCTCTCTCTGCCTCTCTCTCTCTCTCTCTATCTATCTCTCTCTATCTCTCCCTCGAGCGCACGTAGATTGGGCTGTTTTGTGCCTCTTTTCTAAGCGCAGTGAGTGTATGGCGTTTTAATGTGAGAAAGAGAGAGAGAGAGAGAGAGAGAGATAAGAACAAGGTTCGGGGTGGGTTGAGCATCCTGATGAGTTTGGATACTCGAGCTGCTCTGCTATTAATTATTTTTTTTCTGGAGCGCTCCTACTCTGTATCCATGCGTGTTCTGCCCCCCGTCCCCCCCCGTCCCTCACTCTCTCTCTCTCTGTCTCTCTCTCTCTGTATCCGGCAACGCACGCCAACCGCCGTTCACCCACAAATCAAATCATTACGACCAAACCAAGGTTTCCGAGCCCGCTGGCTCCCGGCTGGCCCCCGACAAGAACGTTCTCCTCGTAGGCTGCAGGGGCTTCGCCTTCCTCGAGGTAGCGGTAAGCACTTTCGAGGACGGCTCCGGCCACCGCCGCGGATGCGCGGACTTCGGGGGTCCGCTGATCGATCCCGCCAGGGTCCTGGCCAACATCATCGCCTCCTTGCACCACCCGGAGACCGGCGAGCTGAGGGTGGAAGGGGTTTCCGATCTCGCTCCGAAGGAGGGGGGGGCTCTGGCGGAGGGGATCGGGGGCCTCCGGTACGGCGAGGGGCAGCTGCGGCGGGACACGGGTTACTCTCCGGAGGTGGCCTGCGCAAGGGGGGTGAGAGAGGGCGTGATAGATAGATGGCAAAAGGGAAAGATTTGGTGCATCGCTGTCCCATACGACTCCTGTGATTGTCGTTGTTTGGCCTTGATAGTGGCATACCTACCTCGCTGCAAACATCCTTAGGTTGTTACTGTACCGCTTGGAATCCTATGCAATAGACCAGCCGAACAAACTGGATTTAGACACGACAAATACGGGAGAGGGGTTTGGCAGGACGTCAGAACCCCGCTACACGAGCCCATTTGCGGGGGGAGGGAGCGATTTCACGCACCAGTACAACAATGAAAATAACATATTTATCTCCACGCGTATCTCCCTAAAAACACTTTCTGGAACAACGCGGGTGGTACGTTTCTGCGCTCAATACATGTTTCACCGCCACACAATGTTTTTTTTCAGGCGCCACAAACTGTTTTTGTTTTGTTTTGTTTTTTTTCACACGCCACTTTTTTTTTTCTTCCAAGATGTGCTACAAGCCCGGCGGCTCCTCCCCCGACAAGGCCACCACCACCACGCTGGCTTGTGTGGCGGAGCAGCTGGCGCTCCTGCCCGCGGTAACGGTTACGTCCATCTCAACGACGCCTCCTAATTCCTCTTCCGACGGCGGCGGCGGCTCGCTGCTGGGGTCTAGGTTTCCAGCGACGGCGACCGCGGGGATACACATGTGCCTTCCCCCGGGGGCCGAGTACGCCTCCGCTGTGCGGGCGTTCCAGTCGCACTGCGCCAAGGTACAAGCAGTAGTGCTTAGCGACGGTGTAGGGTTACGTAGGGGGAAGTGGTGTCTATGTAGACGTGGGTGAGGCGGAAGTGTTATGTGTGTGTATTTTCGTTTTTTCGTTTCGTGTTGTGGCAACTCCAGAGTGGTTTGTGGGAACTCCAGATTGGGGTTTATGAGGCACGAATCATTGCAGATACTTGAAGCGACGACGCTCAATGCATGCCTCATAAAAGAAAGAAACAGTTGTGGTGTCGTGGTTTCGTGTTCGCTCAAGACACCCAATAGCCTGTGTTTCGACACAAACCAATGGTGCATATAAAATGCCAACGCTACTTCATCTCCCCGGGTGGTCTGTCTGCCTGTCGCGGGGAGGTCCTTGTTGGTTCATGTGTGCGAAAAGCACACGCGGTCAGCACCGCAAGTGAAGCCGAGCGTTGTAAACCTTGCCTCTGGATGATGATGATGACAGGTGTCCCTCCGCTGCCCCCCCCCCCCCCCCCCCCCCCCCCCCCCCCCCCCCCCCCCC